TCATGCTAAACTTGTGAAGTGCTAAACTCATGCCATGTTAAACTAGTGATGTGCTAAACATGTTAAACATGTGATTCAGTAGGTTAAACCCATGGGTATTAATCCTCATGTCATTTGGTGATGGTTCACACAACTGTGATCCATGTTAAACTTATAATATTAACTTCAGGTGAAACTTATATCATACTAAAACATGTATGTGAAAGTTAACTTTGTGTAAAGTAATATATCACACTCCTATAAATAAACCCTGACAGTTTAGAAACCACTTAAGGTCACAGTCGCAATCAATACGCTATGTATGTCCTCGTGTCTACCGTGGTCTGATTGAACACATTGTATAACATTACACAGCGTATACCACCACACTGTACAACAGGTGTACAACTGTACGGTGTATTGGATCACTGCACCATACAATAGTTGTCAAACTTGTTTGATAAGCAGAACTATCACCATTTACTATTTTATACAACATATAGGCCTACAACACCATAAACAGTTTTTCAACGGACATTTCAAGTTAACATGAAAAAACTACTATAAAGATAGCTCTCATATTAAAAAAAAAAAACAATTAAAAAATTTCAGATTAAAGCAACTGGCTCAAATAACTGAATTAATAACTTCTTTTAGAACTACGGAAGACACAATCCAATTACAATTAAGTAATGAGAACACCTTCTAGACTGTAACAAAAGCCTACATGACAGAAAAAATATAACAATAAACCCACCTAACATAAATTAAAAATAAACCAACGTAATAGAATGTAACAATAAGTCCAGTATATAGAATATAACATTAATCCTACCTAATAGGATGCAACAAGCTTACCTAATAGAATGTAACGACAAGCCTACCTAATAGAATGTAACAACAAGCCCAACAAATAGAATGTAACAACAAGCCCAACAAATAGAATGTAACAACAAGCCTACCAAATAGAATGTCACAACAAGCCTACCTAATAGAATGTAACAACAAGCCTACCTAATAGAATGTAACAACAAGCCTACCTAATAGAATGTAACAACAAGCCTACCTAATAGAATGTAACAACAAGCCTACCTAATAGAATGTAACAACAAGCCTACCTAATAGAATGTAACAACAAGCCTACCTAATAGAATGTAGCAACAAGCCTACCAAATAGAATGTAATAACAAACCTACCTAATAGAATGTAACAACAAACCTACCTAATAGAATGTAACAACAAGCCTACCTAATAGAATGTAACAACAAGCCTACCTAATAGAATGTAACAACAAGCCTACCTAATAGAATGGTACAATAAGCCTACCTAATAGAATGTAACAACAAGCCTAACAAATAGAATGTAACAATAATAAGCCTACCTAATAGAATATAACATTAATCCTACCTAATAGAATGTAACAACAAGCCTACCTAATAGAATGTAACAATAATAAGCCTACCTAATAGAATATAACATTAATCCTACCTAATAGAATGTAACAACAAGCCTACCTAATAGAATGTAACAACAAGCCTACCTAATAGAATGTAACAACAAGCCTACCTAATAGAATGTAACAACAAGCCCAACAAATAGAATATAACAACAAGCCTAACAAATAGAATGTAACAACAAGCCTACCTAATAGAATGGTACAATAAGCCTACCTAATAGAATATAACAACAAGTCTAACAAATAGAATGTAACAACAAGCCTACCTAATAGGATGTAACAACAAGCCTACCTAATAGAATGTAACAACAAGCCTACCTAATAGAATGTAACAACAAGCCTACCTAATAGAATGTAACAACAAGCCTACCTAATAGAATGTAACAACAAGCCCAACAAATAGAATATAACAACAAGCCTAACAAATAGAATGTAACAACAAGCCTACCTAATAGAATGGTACAATAATCCTACCTAATAGAATATAACAACAAGTCTAACAAATAGAATGTAACAACAAGCCTACCTAATAGAATGTAACAACAAGCCTACCTAATATAAAGTAACAACAAAACCGCCAAACACAATGCAGAAATTTTCAATCATTTATCAGTATATCAAATGTCACAACCACAAAATGACAAAAGCTGTGACACTCTGTTCCCCCGTACTGTACTGTGAATGCTCCCACAACACCTGTAAGGTTATCCCCACGCCCAGTCACAAAGAGCCTGCCCTGACTCAGAGGATTACAAACAATCTTTGGGACTCTCCCAGCAGTGTGACAAGCAAGAGACCCAGTCAGCTGCATCACACAAACAAAGGGCGCACTGAAGTCAGTGGCGAATACTCATGGCAGTGGCTCTGCTAATTATACCAGGAGTGGTGATGTCAGTCATTAGAGCCACACTCCAGTGCCAGCATAAAAATTAGCCATCGATACACTACAGTGATGTAATTTTAACAAGAATTACTTCATACATACACCTTTACACATAAATGAAAGCCTATGTATGTATGTCTATAAATATGTAAGTATATAAGTATATATATACATATATATACATACATATATATATATATACATACATACATATATATATATATATATATATATATATATATATATATATATATATATATATATATATATATATATATATATATATATATATATATATATAATATATATATATATATGTATGTATGTATGTATGTATGTATGTATGTATGTATGTATGTATATATATATATATATATATATATATATATATATATATATATATATATATATATATATGTATATATATATATATATATATATATATGGAAATTCCCATGTGCGTAAGGTGTATTGCAGCAATGTTTACATTCCAGCTTTGACTCAAGCATGAATTCCCCACAAGGTCAATGTAAAGAAATGAAAATGTACACAAGGATGTAGAAACTTGGCTAGGGGAGACTACTGTTAATAAAAAAAAAAATCCTCTGTCAGTCACCAGTGAACCATGACTGCATTCCTCTCACATCTGGTAGGAGAAGGGTGGGCGTGGGGTAAGTACCTGGTTACAAACCAACCAACCGTATCACCATGATGCAATGCTGGGTTTAGTACTTAGCCTCAAGGGAAGATCACTCTAGGACAATATTCAGATAGTGAAAAATACTTGTTATCCGCCCCTTTTAACAGGTTAACCATAGAGCCACAGAGATATTTTAGATGGGATCAAGTTGGTTTTTGTTCTTGACAGAGTAGGACAGGATACAAGGGCAGTAAAATGTGTTTCAGTCATGATTGTTATTTAACAGCTACCCAACAGTGACAAAAGCTATTTGATTTTAATCTATGGTACATTGGCGGTAGTGGTTATAGCACATATGGTGTAGTGGCTTTAGCACATATGGTGTAGTGGCTATAGCACATTGGCTGTAGTGGCTATAGCACATTGGCTGTAGTGGCTATAGCACATTGGGTGTAGTGGCTATAGCACATTGGCTGTAGTGGCTATAGCACATATGGTGTAGTGGCTTTAGCACATATGGTGTAGTGGCTTTAGCACATATGGTGTAGTGGCTTTAGCACATATGGTGTAGTGGCTATAGCACATTGGCTGTAGTGGCTATAGCACATTGGGTGTAGTGGCTATAGCACATATGGTGTAGTGGCTATAACACAACCCTAGCTGCTTTGGTTATAGCACATAAACAGTTCTGAGTGCCTTAAGTATTTTATCAGGACACTCACACTGCTATACACCAGTAAAAGCACCACCCAGTTATCATAATAAAGAGTCCAACAATTTGTGAAACCACATTAAATTAATTCTATTCTACTAATTTATAGCATTTTTTCGCAACAATTATTTGCATTCAGTATAAAGTGAGAGGTCACAAGAATTAACCTCTCTCTACACACACCAATTAGGTGGCACCAAGACTTCTATACAACAGTAATTAAAGTTCCAAAAACATTGGTATACACATTGAAGACTATAAACATGCACATGTTAACAATTATTTGTTGTCAGTTCAAATCAAGAGCAAAGGGAGTTAATACAATCAACAGCAGGGAGACAACAATGATGCACATCAACACAAAAATAAATCTGACCAAAAATAATTCACTGAAGCAAGAAGCGGCACACAGAACCTGATATCAAGACCTACACTTACGATGAAACCTACTTTGTTTGAAAACATGCTACCCACAATTCCTCTCAATATCCACTTCACTACACTGTGCACGAGCCAGCGGTCTACACAAAAATACACTGACGTCTTTATACAAGCGTAACTTTATCCTCTGAAATCCAACACTTATTACGAATAATGTAACGCAGATTGGCTGACAAATGCAGGCCGAAGAGGATTCTTTGGAGAATTTGTTTAAACTTTTATTTTTTTTAAATTTATTTATTGAAAAAAAAAAGTTTGCATTTTTAAATTTTATTTTCTGTTGTTATGAAAACAATTAGTGGTAAACAGGGACGTAACTCCTAACAGTTTGAGGTATAACAGCTTTAACTGGTATTTCACCGTTTAAGAAATAGTATAGGAAATATTAAGAGTTTATTTAATTAGAAAAATCTGAGTTATATGAAAAGAATTTATTGGTACAGAAATATTTACATTGTATTTTATATTCTTGAGTTGCTAAAGAAATACTTGAGTTATGTAAAATATTGCAAATTTCTTGTGAAACCAAATACCTGGATCAAATGAATTATTGAGTTTTTTGCTAAAGAAATAAATGGGTTTTATGTTACATTAAAGAGCTTTTTGCTTAGGTAATACGTGGGTTATGCAAAATATTTAGAGTTTATTGCAACGATAAAATACCTGGGTCAAATGAATTATTAATAGTTTATTGCTAAATAAATTCACTGGGCCATGTAAAATATAGCATTGTGAAAAAAATTACTGGTTATATGAATTAATGATTTATAGCTGAATACATACCTGGGTCATGTAAAATATTAAGAATTTATTGCTAAAGAAATATTTGGGTCATATAAGAGTATTAAAGGGAAAGTTGCATAAGAAAACTATGTTACTTAGAAAATACCTGGTTAATATGGAATATCATGAGTTCATTAGCCAGCCTGTGCCGATGTTGTATGTCTACCAACTTCTTGTACATGAGCGACTGTTGGGCCACGCAAAGCCAAGGGGGGACAACATCCAGGTCAATATTAAACACACACAACAAATAAAAGAAGAAAAAAATAAACAGAAATAAATAAGATTTTTAAAAATGCGGGAGTTCAAAAGAGTACATGGTGAAATTTTTGTGGACTGGACGTGTGGGGTAACCCAGCACTAATGTGTTGATTTGATTTAAAAAAAATAAAGGTACAAAATAGATCTAGGTGTATCACATGGCCAAAATGTGAAACACATCAATGCCAGGGGTTAATGACCTCCAGCCCACAAAAAAAAAAAAAATCAAGCTTGTCTATTGTGGTGTGGTACGACTGAAATAAAAATGTTAAAAAAAAGTCGACAACTGAAAAAAAATAAAAAAAAATTGTTAAGACAAAAATGTGACAACACCAAGGAGAGGGGCTATAAAAACACTTAACTTCACAGTATAAAAATGGCATACATTTGAGAAAATAAGTAAAATGATTATATGCTTCAGGTTTCTATTCACAATGTCTTATTTTTCAAGCAATTCAATTTGTCAGACGCAGCCAATGCTACACTTAAAACATTTCATCATAAAGTTGGAATTTTTTGGTTTTGTTTAATTAACTGAATTTTTTTTTTCATGAATCTCATCAGTTAAAATTTTTCCATCAGATTAATCAAAAACAAAACTAATATCCTGAAACAAAAGATCAAGCAGGAAAAAGAGAAGAAAAAACCCAAGGGACATTACTCAAGTGATTACAACACAGAGTTATCTACCATGAACTACTGGTGCATGTCAACATGCAAATAGAAAATACCAGCAAACAGTGCAGAGGTGGACTGTCCAATTACCTTCATGTGGAACATCATGAGCTCATTGGCCAGGCTATTCCTGTATTGGATGTCTATCACTTTTTTATACATCAGAGACTGAAAGCAGGGGTTAACAAGTGTAACATTAGGACCAGTCCAGTTCTGGTTCTTACTAAGCTAACACTATCAGGGCCAAGAGGGATCTGAAATGTAACGTGTACGGTGGGCTAGGGGCTGGGCCATCTGGCAGCACCTTCAGTATCAACACATTCCCCCCACCCCCACCTCACAGACGGTTGTCTGGGTATGGGTCAATATCCAGTTTTTCTACCTAACTGCCTAAATCACCAATGTTTGACCTCTAGTGCATATCATATCAGTGCACCATCCAATGAGTAAACAACTGTTTAGCAACACCAATTTATATTTAATTTTATCTTCCTTCTCTTTGTTAGAACAGTAATTTTCTTAAGCGATTTAACTATCTGCTAGTTTGTTGATCATCTTTTGTTTAGTAGCCAACAATCCAGAAAATATATTGTTTTAGTATCCAGTAATCCTTAAGGCATATTGTGTTTTAGTATCCAGTAATCCATGGAACATCTTGTGTTTAGGTATCAAGTAATCCTTAAAGCATTTTGTTATTTACTATCCAATAATCCCTAAAGCATTTTAGTATCCAGTAATCCATAGAAAATATTCTGTTTTAGTATCCAGTAATCCATAGAACATCATGTGTTTTGGTATCCAGTAATCCATAGAAATTATTCTGTTTTAGTATCCAGTAATCCATAGAACATCATGTGTTTTAGTATCCAGTAATCCATAGTACATCATGTGTTTTAGTATCCAGTAATCCATAGTACATCATGTGTTTTAGTATCCAGTAATCCATAGTACATCATGTGTTTTAGTATCCAGTAATCCATAGTACATCATGTATTTTAGTATCCAGTAATCCATAGTACATCATGTGTATTAGTATCCAACAATCCATAGAACATCATGTCTCCAGTAATCCATAGTACATCATGTGTATTAAAGGGGAACTACCAAGTATTGACAAAGAAAAGTATTTATCTATTCAGCTTACTGAAGATAACTCAAATTAGAATTTGCTCACACAACATATTTGTAATACCACAGCCAAGTAAAAGAAAAAGAGTGAAAGTGAAGAATACAATCCTGAGCTGATACAGGCTGGATGACCTGTAAACAAATGCATGGGGTAAAAAATTTAATCAAACTCCCCAAATATTCTCATACGAAAAATTAGACAATAATATCTGCTTCTTGTTTATTATTTTCTGATCATGTTAACCCCTTGGCACCCTGAAGTGGGGCACTAATAATTTCAGGGAGACCCTAGAGAAACGTGTTGGGCGTTTGAAATACTCTTTTGTGGATTTAAGTCTAATTGCATAAAATCTATATAGTGATTTGGGGTTAAACTAATATTTCCATGAACTGAGGCAGAAGGAGTGGTAGAGGTGGCAGGGTTAACTAATATATCCAGGCACTTAGGAGGGGTGGTGGGGGTTAACTAATATTTCATGGAATTGTGGAGGGGTGGTGGGGGTTAACTAATATTTCATGGAATTGGGGAGGTGTGGTGGGGTTAACTAATATTTCATGGAATTGGGGAGGGGTGGTGGGGGTTAACTAATATTTCATGGAATTGGGGAGGGGTGGTGGGGGTTAACTAATATTTCATGGAATTGGGGAGGGGTGGTGGGGGTTAACTAATATTTCATGGAATTTGGGAGGGGTGGTGGGGGATTAACTAATATTTCATGGAATTGGGGAGGGGTGGTGGGGTTAACTAATATTTCATGGAATTGGGGAGGGGTGGTGGGGGTTAAGTAATATATATCCTTAACACCTCGCCCTACTCCTAAGATTTTGCCCAATTAACACATTTTTCTGTCATTTTTTACACTCTTATTTTATATGAAGCTGGGCATTCAATATTTAACAGAACAGAAATGTAGCTATGGTACTAGGCAAGTTAACTTGATAGAATGCACAGTATGATAATTTACATTTTTTTTTTGTTTATGAACTTCAAGCTGGTGCCAAGAGAGTTAAACATATACTTCCCAATTCTCTTTCTGTTAAATTTACATTTTTCTCAAAGCTATTTTTCTCTATAAATGAGTACATTTTGGGAGTGTCAAAGGTATTACTTCATCACTCCATAAGACTGAAATAAAAACTTTTCAAGTTTAAAAATATCAAAATAAAAATGAACAAACATAATATTTCTGAAATGCTCATCAAATATATACAAGCATACTGGTGCCTAGGATCAGAAGAATTTGATAACAGACTATGACTCTTATGTCACTGTTGTCTTTTTATTGTCTCTGTTGATAGCAAGAAACATTTTTTCCATTAATTATTCATGCATTAAAAGAGAAAAAATATCACTGCCATAAAGATAGAGGAAGATAACTCTCACTTAACATAAAACGAAACTAGGTCAGCTTTTCTCCCTTTTAAAGTCTAAATGTTGAATCATTCTTTTCTGAAATAACTCTGGTATTATACAACTTTAATCAAAGAAACATGAGTGGGGTGAAAATTAAAATTATTTTTGTTTTAATTTTTCTAATTACAAAATTATATTTAAAAATAAATAAGAAAATAAAACATGAGAAGTTTTAATAGGTAATCTCAGATGCTACGGCAAAAGGTGAGACCAGAAATTCAAGTCCGTCTTCATTTATTTAAGTGATTGTTTTCTATTAACGAGGAAAAAAAGGTAAAATAATAAAACTGGACTTACATGACTGATGCTGATACAACAGTACACTGCAAAGGCTGAGGCGATCTCTTCATCGAAGGTAGTGAAAAACTGGAAGGTTTTTTTGTTACACAACTGAGCAACACCCAACACCACACCTGCGGGGTTCAAAGAAAAAAACAGCTTTAGAGTACAACGCATACAACACGACTCAGGCAGGAAAGTGGGCGGTGGACAACCTGGCATAAAGCATGGTAGTTATGGCCCCTGACATAGGTTAACAAAACAAAAAAAACTGGCAATAAAGACACTGTACTCACTGTTTAATAACTCTTAAGAGAAAATTGTTTTGTTCTTTTATAAGAACAGGGAGAAAATAAACAAGCCAAGTTGGATTAAAATCTACATTCTGCACTTCAGAGTGTTAATTTAAAAATTACGTCACAAACACAGTGATCCAGGCTTCGGTGAAATAAAGAAGAAAACAAAACCACAACGCATTATGTAAAGTTAAAACAGATGTCCGGCAATTTACATCCACTCACAAGTAAACAAACTGCTACTGTATGAGTTATCTTCCCTTGTCATCGGCTAGTTTCTTTTATACCAGAGAACACGCACCTATTCCAATCCTACCTACCCACCTATCCCAATCCTACCTACACACAAGTGCCAACAGAGAAAAAAAAATACAAAAAAAAAAAAACTTAAGGGGAGCAACCCTACCTCTTGGGGTAATTTAGTACATGTGTGATTACCTCCCCTTCCCAAGAAGTAGAAAATAATCACCTGAATAGAGTCTAACAGCTGGCACCAGTGTGGGAATAAAACAAAAATTACTATTGATTTTTTCTCCCCTTTATATTCTAGCAGAACATAGCATAATGACTGCCTTTATTCTACACATTTAACACAATTTGTCTCACAAACCTACAAGACCACCATTTCTAAAGGAAAAAAACAACACACCAACAAATTCCTATATAAAAAACAATTATACTTACCTTCCTCATCCTTGATTGGAAAACACAATATATTTCTACAGGAAATAAAAAAAAAGAATTATCCTTTTGACATGATTTTGGACTGACACTTCACACTTTTAATTTAATTCTATTATGTTAACTAGCAGGGCTGTTTTTTTAATATTGTGTTAGAACCGTTAGATTGGTTGAGATCATCCAACTACAGTATAACACTGACCTGGTTCTGAAACCTGTAGAGTCGTCAATGCCCCTATAAAACAGGGGATGAGAGTATGCATCACGGATGTTTAACAATTTTCCTGTATGATGAAAAGAAACAAAATGCAAAATGAACAATAAGAAAAAACAAAGAAAAAAATATTTATTACTTTGTTGTTTTTATGAGAGTTAGAGTGTGGCCTAAAGCTAAACTCCCACATTGTTTTATTCACTGTGGTTACTAAAACATATCCACTCTACTTCACTTGTTTTAATATCTGCCATATAATGACATTTTCAAAACATTTTTAACAATGATTGTTTTAACTGTTACACTAAAGGCTATATTAAAATTGCTAGCAATCAGCCTTTTTACTGGCATGAGGTAACAATTTCTACTGACCTGAGGTAGCAATATCTAGTGACCTGAGGTAGTATTATCAACTGACCTGAGGTAGTATTATCAACTGACCTGAGGTAGCAGGAATGACATTATCAACTGACCTGAGGTAGCATTATCAACTGACCTGAGGTAGCATTATCAACTGACCTGAGGTAGCATTATCAACTAACCTGAGGTAGCTTTATCAACTGACCTGAGGTAGCATTATCAACTAACCTGAGGTAGCATTATCAACTGACCTGAGGTAGCATTATCAACTGACCTGAGGTAGTATTATCAACTGACCTGTGGTAGTATTATCAACTGACCTGAGGTAGCATTATCAACTGACCTGAGGTAGCAGGGATGACATTATCAACTGACCTGAGGTAGTATTATCAACTGACCTGAGGTAGCATTATCAACTGACCTGAGGTAGCATTATCAACTGACCTGAGGTAGCATTATCAACTGACCTGAGGTAGTAGCATTATCAACAGACCTGAGGTAGCATTATCAACTGACCTGAGGTAGCATTATCAACTGACCTGAGGTAGCATTATCAACTGACCTGAGGTAGCATTATCAACTGACCTGAGGTAGTATTATCAACTGACCTGAGGTAGCATTATCAACTGACCTGAGGTAGCATTATCAACTGACCTGAGGTAGCATTATCAACTGACCTGAGGTAGTAGCATTATCAACAGACCTGAGGTAGCATTATCAACTGACCTGAGGTAGCATTACCAACTGACCTGAGGTAGCATTATCAACTGACCTGTGGTTGCTACATGACCTGCAATGCCTTGATTTTTGGGCAGTCTAATTTCACCTTGTACCTAGAAGAAAACAAAAAATCAAACCAAATCAGAAATAAAAAAATAAATAAAAATAAAGTCATGAAAACAATCCAAAAAGTTAACCTGCCCATCATGTTTTAACCTTCTTTAGTCATTTAGTCAACCTCAATTCTAAACTTTAGTTTGTTTGTTTTATAAACTTAGTGAGGTAAAATTAAAGGCTCTTTTACAAAAATTCATTGCTTCTAATAATAGAAGTGTGTAAAATTCTTGTTTTATTTTAGAAGACAGTCTTTGCAGTGAGTGGTTAGAAAAAAAAATGCAGCATTCACAAAATCAAGGGATTTGATTGGTTGAGAAGACCAGAGAATTAAGAGATTTGATTGGTCAATGTGACCCAGGCCAAGGTTACATGTCTTCCTGCAAGTCAGAGTATTATCCCCAACTTCTGTGTGCAAGCATTCCAAATGTCAGATGAATATGGACAGGGTGCGGGCCATTCAATCTTTTTTCTTGTGTGCATCCAATTAGTTTGGTACAACTTCTACGTTCAATTATATAGGATTATATTTCTCTAGAATTAACAAATAAATTAAAATACTTTGATCCATCTTCCATGTTTGTGTTTTAAATTGATATTTATTTTTAGAATTAACAAATATAATTTCAAGCAGTTTAATAAGTTGATACAATTTCAGTTTGTTTTTTAGATTGATAATATTTCCCTAGAATTAAAAAAAAAAATATTCTTTCAAGCAGTTCAATTAGTTTGAAAAAACTTCTGTTTGAGTTAAGAAATATACTATCAAGCAGTAATTTGATTACACATTGTAAACACCAGCTGACATGTATCTAGCAATTGTTATATTTTAGGTTTACAAGCGTATTCATACTTTATTTTAAAGTAAATCTTAATCATTCAAATAAATTCTATTAAGGATAATTTAACATTATTGTTGTCCAAAGCACGTTATCCTTGAGTGAATGATAATAAGAGGTTTATCAGAGTTTTAAAAAATTAAAGAGCTTTGTCTTTTATCTGTGAATATTTTATATTTTAATACCAGATGTTCATTAATTAATTGAATAATTATTTTCCAAAGAACTTACACATTTATGTTTCAAATGGATTGTATGTTAATATTTTTAAAGATTTATGTTCTTCAAAACTAGCAATACAACTTATCAAGATGAAATTTTTTTTAATAAAATATTTATACCCTAAAACTGAAAACATTCTAAGATTTATACAATATAACTCTCTAGCAGAGAAAGTTGCAAAAAAGCATGTGTTTACTTCATTTTAAACTTCCAAATAAATGATGAACCATAGCGCGTGGAAGTGATTATGTAGTGCAAAACTGAATCAATCAAATAGAAAAGAATAAGATGGGGCAGAAGTGAGGATATTGAAAATTTGTTCCAAAATGTAACGAAACAAAATAAAATATAACCTGTGATGAAAAAATTTACTCTTACGGTGTGAACAAGAGAAAATGAAACAAAATAAAAATTGGTAACGTGGATGGTGCGCAGATGAATAAAGAAACAGATGGGAAAAAAATTTGCCGGTACAGGAAACAAGAAGAAATTTTTGTCAGCAAAAAGTTGTGAACAAGTGCAGAAAGGGCATGCAATCATCCAGCTGTTAGTATACACGTTTCTCAATGGTGTCTCATAGAGAAATTAAAAAGTCATGCTTTATTTGGCTTCTTTAAAGTTCAAATTAAACCCACTAACTTTTTGACATTTTACTTTCAAACAGGCCAAGCATATTAAAACCACATTGACCGGACAATAAAAAGATTCTAGAAAAAGAGTTTTGTAAATACATATGGATAGAACTTAGTGCTTTGATGTAAATATAGACTGATGTTGGGATGGTAAAGATAGACTGATGTTGGGATTGTAAAGATTGATGTTGGGATTGTAAAGATAGACTGATGTTGGGATTGTAAAGATAGACTGATGTTGTGGCTGTAAAGATAGACTGATGTTGGGATTGTAAAGATTGATGTTGGGATTGTAAAGATAGACTGATGTTGGGATTGTAAAGATAGACTGATGTTGGGATTGTAAAGATAGACTGATGTTGGGATTGTAAAGATAGACTGATGTTGGGATTGTAAAGATAGACTGATGTTGTGGCTGTAAAGATAGACTGATGTTGGGACTGTAAAGAGATGTGGCGATTGTTTCATAAATTTTAATTTAATCTATTACAGCTGCCAACATTTTATTTTACAGTATTTCATTTTAAAATCTTGTACCTACAAATAAACAGGATTAACCTAATACTTTTATAATTTTATTCGGTTTAACTTAGTAGCTGTTAGAATTTTTATAAGTTAACCAGAATCCTTCTGGAATACTTTTATAGATTTAAATAATATGTATAGGATAATTTTACTGGTAACCTCAAAACTATTGGGGATAAACTTACTAACTAATGGGTTAAACTATATATTCATGTATTCATGGATGGGATAATCGTGTAAGTTTATTATACAATAATTAGAAAATATTACATTAGTTTAACTAAATACTGTTGGAGATAAGTTACTTTTAACGATAACTTTATAAATTTAACTCAATAGTTAAAAAATAATTTCATGGACAGTCAACACTTATGGGTTAATTTCCTGGGTCTAACTTAATGTTTCTGGGAATATTTTCAAGGGAGAAGTGATTTTAAGAACTACAAGGTTAACTTGAAAATTGTATAGGTATACAAAAAACTACTCATCATACAATCATTTTCATCTTGGAAACTATTAGGAGCGCAAAAAAAAAAATGAAGTCAATAATAGATTGGAAGCTGACTGCAGGTCTGAGAACTACACACAAGAACACATTTTAAAACTTCGGCAAACAGAGACTTTCGAGAAACCTGGGTTTATAGTAGGATCATTATACAAAGCTTTTATAGTAGGATCATTATACAATGCTAATGAGATGACTTTCTATTATTTCAGTATGTCGAATGTTTTTTTTCTCAAATTGTAACTGAAATAGTCTCATACTTGTCTAGGTTTTAAAATGTGTTTTGTGAATAACAAAAAAAAAAAAAAACTACGCAGCTTGAAATAAAGTTATTGTTTAAATAAACAATGGTAGAAATGCTAAAATTAAAATGACTACTTGAATTTATACAGAGCTGATTTCTTCTCTATAAATAAACACAGATAATGTTTAGACGAGTTTGGGTTAAGTTAGCATGGCTGCTAATGTACAACTTAGGATGATAAATGTAGATGTATAAATATATTTAAAAAGAAAATGAGAGAGATTATAAATATTTGTGAAGTATTACTGAATATAAATTAAGATTATAATATAAATGCATGTTCGATATCCTTGTTAAATACTGTGGTTATAGAATAATGGAAAATGCTTTCAAATCACTTAATGTGGTAACATCCAGTAATGCACAGTGCTGAGTCGTAGGATTTAGGTGCCCATCACAACTGATGGACAGACGACACTGACTTAATTTGGACTTATTTCCATCATACGGGTACAGACTTAATTTGGACTTATTTCTGTCATACGCAGATTCGGATGCCGACTTAATTTTGATTAATTTGCGTCATACGTATTCTTCAGTATTAGAAACATGACAGATATAGACCAGATTTAATGACTGATTCATAACCAAAAATTTGCTAAGCTGAATAAATGATTTAATTATTAATTTAATCACTAATGAATGACAAGGTATATATACAGATGTAAAGACTAATTCATGACCAATTCACCTGAACTAGCATGGTTTACAGATGACTGACTGTGTATATTTCAAATGGCTTATCTTTAATTCATGTAATGATGTATAAAATCCCATAAATATACTCCCCAAGAACTGGTCTTTGAAAAATCTTATCCAAACAAAAAAAGATTAATCCTCGGAAAAAATTGGATGCACTATTTTTTAACCTGATATTACCATCCTACACAAAAATCTATGAACTTTATTCTAATTTAGCTAAACAAAAAAATAAAACCTTGTCTTTATAAATTTTTATCTGAAAAAAAAAAAAGAGTTGAAAGAAATGAAAAAAAAAGTAGAAAAATGATTGTATAGCCAAATTGGGTGACTACCAAGCATCATGTGCAGTACTGTAAGCCAGGCAAACACTTACGTACCCCATCCCCAAATTGCCACTGAAAACAAAAAGAAGCCAAATAGGATATATACACTAGGTCAAGTTGATAGCTATACTGGCATACACTGGCTCTAGGTCTAGGTTACTTACGTTCTGCCAGTCAGATTTTTTAGGCAATGAAGGGAAAAAATTATTAAATCAATCTAAAATTAAAATTGGTTGCTTCCTAACATCAACAATAACTTTTTAGGCAACAAATCAAAAGGTGAAAACATTCTTTTGATTTAATCTTAAAAAAAAATCCAAAATTTCTTTCTAATTTCAGTGATTAAAAGACACAATCGCAGAGGCAATTAGAAGAAAATAATTAAAAATTTCATAATCATTCCTTGGATGCTTTAAGTGATAGCAATGCTCTAAAGAATTACCAACAGCTAGTAAACTCACTAGACATCTAAAAAGAAAATGTTAGACTAAAATTAGATTTGAAACTGGCTTACTCTCTAGCATAAAAAAATAAGTAAATAAATAAAAAGTAAATAAAAGATAGAAGCAGTAGGTTGAGAAATGTTTACTCAATGGTCAACAGAAAGATTAGTTTCAAACAAATTTAGTTCAATTTAGTTTGGGAGGCTCAAGTCAGATAACTCCTGTCAAAAAAAAAAATCAATAGACAGTACAACAAAACTGACCAATCAGCACCATGCAAACATCCATCCAATCAACCATGTGCTTTAAAAACATAATTTAAAAAACCCAGTCTTTTCTTGGCTTTCTAGCTAGGCAACACCATTCCAAGAAAACAAAAATTCACTGGCCAATGAAAAGATTAGAAGTTGGTGACACAATGCAAGAACAAACTCCATGTAAAGACTTCTGGCACTGCAAGGGAAGCAACACTACAAAATGGGGTTAGTTTCAACAAAACATACTTGTCTTACACAGTTATCTCTCTCTGGGCCTCTGTGTTGCCTCAAGGACATAATTACATGCTTTTGGAGGGAATGAAATTGGGCAAGGGGCGGAGACAAAAAAAAATAGAAAACACAAATAATTAAAAATATGGAAATACAATATTAAATAGTCTCAAAGATTTTAGGATATAAATAGTGAATACGTGTAACCTAACATATACTATATAACAAGATATTTTCAAACATCCAAAACTAAATTTAAAAAATAATTACAAGACTAACTAATTTCATTATCAAATAAAATGACAAATAAAAATAATAATCTAAAATACTATCATTACTTAAAACTTAAAAGTTCTAATCTTGACGAGATGTGTCCAACGCAAGCACATAGCACTAGGATGATACTACGCTGTATTGTATGAAAGGACATGCTCTTCCTGGTAGTCATGTGATAGGCATGCCATGGCACACTTGCATGCTATGGCTGACCTACATGCTGACACCTGCATCTGACCTACATACTATGGCACCTGTGGCTGACCTACATGCTGACACCTGTAACTGACCTACATACTCTGACACCTGTGACTGACCTATATATGCTGACACCTGTTACTGACCTACATGCTCCGACACTTGCGGCTGACCTTCATGCTCTGACACTTACGACTGACCTACATGCTGAAACCTGTGGCTGACCTACATACTCTGACCTACTTATTTATACTATTATTTTAATTCAACCAAATGTTCATCTTCAAAATGGTAGCTAATTATACAAAAATATATTTATCATGTCTTCAGTTAATTCTTTGTATTCCACCGTACACGTAATATACCTCAGTTGTACACAGATAAATATGGCTAGATTTGGCTAACATCATTGCATAATGATTGAAGACATTTTCCACACTGTGCCATTAAAATGCTAACAACAATCGTGTTATATATTTCTCCATACAAATAATACACCTTACAAGAACTCTCCGACAATTCACGGCCTTATCATTGTGTATTAAACACATACATGAACACATTTAAACTATTACACTCATGCAAGTACACAATTTAAACACCGCCATTAGAGAAGCTAAGGTTTATGAAGACTTGAAAACACAATAAACCTAACAAGAGCTTCTCTACAATTCACCACCCTATCAGTGTGTATTAAACACAGACATATGAACACATTTAAACTTTTATATCCAAGCAAGTACACAATTTAAACACCTCAATTAGAGAAGCTAAGGTTTATTAAAAACTATTTCAGGTAGTTGGGAATGATTGTCTTCTGTGAAATTATCCATCTAAAGCTTTTTTAGACTGACTGCTTGACAAAGCCTAGTCACAACTTTTAAAATACCACAAAAATTAAAGAAAATTAGCTTAATTAAAAGAAAACACTGATTAACTTCACTATAAAGCCACACAGATTTAAGGTAAATATACATTTCAATAACGTGTTGTTTTATTCCAAAGTTTAAAAAAAAATTAACGTTAATGTTATTTTATCCTAGTGATAAATTATTAGTGATGGATTGTTAGTGATAAACAGTTAGTGACGAAACAGGTAGGTAAGTACTTAGTTCATGCATGAGTTAATCCTCTAGGTGATTAAGATTAGCAGGTACACAGTGAGCACCATGGGATAACACCAGTCATGTGATTGAAATATCCCACTTTACAATCAGTTAGTATCTATTTAAACACTGTGTTACCAAGTTAGGTATATGTGTGTGCAATGATGTGCGACAATGAAATTACCTCCCTTGAACAATTCATGCTATTGAGGGTGGGGGTTTTGTTTTTTAATTTTCTAGACATTTGTATGGAGTTTATTGTAACATTCATGCTATGGAGGGTGGGGTTTTGTTTTAAATCTCTCTGACATTTCTATGGAGTGTACTGTAACATTCATGCTATGGAGGGTGGGGTTTTGTTTTAAATCTCTCTGACATTTCTATGGAGTGTACTTTAACATTGAAACAAAACTCCAGCAATGACATCCCACCTCCCCCTAGGTAGACACCTACCTCCTTATCATCAGCAGTAATCCCGTCAAATACCATGGCAACCAGTTCATCTGTGTCTTTGTCTAGCAGAAATACTGAACACCTGAAACACGATGGATCACATGTTATAAGCATTACATGATATATCACAAGTTATAAGCAATACATGATATATCACTTATTATAAATATAAATTAATGACATCACATGTTATAAGTATTACATGATATATAACCTGTTATAAGCATTTAAATGATACATCACTTGCCATTTAGTGCTTACCTTTCAGCATCTGTTAGGTTTCTAGCTTCTTGCATAATTTCTCTTAACAGTTTGGTTAGATCATCTGCAAAACAAAGTAAATTATTAGGATAGGAAAATTTCAGTGAGCTATGCACAGGGATTATGGTGGAACAATGTAACAGGGATTACAGGGATTATGGTGGGACAAAGCAGATTTCATCAATGTTATATACAAAGAGAATTCATCAGTGTTATATTACAGAGGCCCAAGTAATGGAAGGAAAATGATCTTTAATAATTCCCAATTAAATACAAATACTTCATGAAAAGCATAATCTAAATATATTTTGTGTGAAATAAATAATCCATTTACAATATTTATGGTTAGTGTCAAGCTCAAGCTAATTTTTAAGTTAAATATTTGAAAATTTTGCATCAGAAATTTTGTTAATTATTTCAACCAATAAACTGGATTAAAACTGTCAGTAAAAAGTGAAGAATTTATTTAAATACAGTAATGATGTGTGCAGACTAAACTATTCAACAAACAAGAAAAGAAAACAGAAAAAGAACTTGAAACAATGTAAACAATAAAACACAAATTTTCTTTACAACTGTAGCCATTTAAAAGTAATTTAAAAATTGAAAATAACCTTTGAACTCAACAAAAAATTGAAAACATGAATGTCCGAAATGGAAACTCTGAAACGGCAAACAATCTACCATCTGTGATGCCCTCGGCAGCTGGGAAGTAAGCTTGGTGAAGCTGAATATAAAAGCGATCTCGGAACTCAAAGACAGTGTTCAAGTTGCTCTGATGCAAATGTATGTGCTGTTCAGTGTGGCTTGGTGTGTCCTCTACCTCGTCATCGTCGTCAAACAGAACATGGAACTGGTGAGTTAAATCGTCTGAATGGACGCGGGAGCTTGCTCGGTGCTGGTGCAGACTGCTGTTTGAACTGTGTTTACTGTGCGAGGCATGATGGTCTAGGCTGGTGACTGTATCCAGGTAACTCTGAAAGCTGGGCACACAGATTCGCTCTTCACTGTTGGTATTGAGAGCGCTGTCACCAGTGTGAGTGGTACTATTAATAGCGCTGTCAAGATTCTGGTGATGACTGCTGTCTGAACTGTGTTTACTGTGCGAGGCATGATGGTCTAGGCTGGTGACTGTATCCAGGTAACTCTGAAAGCTGGGCACACAGATTCGCTCTTCACTGTTGGTATTGAGAGCGCTGTCACCAGTGTGAGTGGTACTATTAATAGCGCTGTCAAGATTCTGGTGATGACTGCTGTCTGAACTGCGCTGGTTTTGTTTACTGTGCAAGGCATGCTGGTCTGGGATGGCGAGCGTGTCCAGATTAGCGTGAATGGTGCTATTGACAGCTAAGCCATGGGTATGAGTGGTGCTATTGAAAGCACTGTCATGGGTGTGAGTGTTGCTACTGACAGCACTGTCGTGGGTGTGAGTGGTGCTACTGACAGCACTGTCGTGGGTGTGAGTGGTGCTACTGACAGCTAAGTCAAAGGTGTGAGTGCTACAATCTTGGCTGGGAGTGCCACTGTTCCCCACTACCACTGTGCCTGACTCCTGGCTAAACTTAGCTCGGTCGTACAGCTCGGAGCCCTGAGCCTCACTGCTGGAACATTCCGAGGAGGTTCCTTGACACTGACACGACAACACAACCCACTCATGACAACACTTGTATCTGGCCAGATCCTCATCGTCACAGGAGTTGCCATTTAAGAATGAGCTATACCGTGGCTTAGCGCTGGAACAGGTAGTAGTATCTGAGAGCACCAATTCCTGAGAGCTATCTCTGGGCTCTAGAGCCAGATTTGTATCAGATAAAGATACAGCAAAAAGGTCGCTAGAGCAGCAGAGGTCAGATTGACCCAGTAACCCAGAAGACGAGGACTGGGTCATGCAGCATTCCAGCTTAGCAGGCACGACATCATCACTGTGTGGGTCTCTTTGTGGAGGTGAACAGCACTCCAAGTTCAAGTTTTTGAACAGCGTGCTGCAGCTGTCTGCGTCTACGTCAGAGTCATCAGTGCAGTCATCGTCCTGGGGTTCAAAGTACAGGTGGTAGTACTTGTGAACCTTGACCTCAGGATTGTTGTCATCGGATCCGCTAGGGCTCCCATTTTCATTATCATTTCTGTTTGTTTCCCCGCTGCAACTTTCTAAATTTGAATCCAGGCTCTTCTTCAAGTCCATTTCCTGTGTATTTTCAGAGGAAACCAACCCAGTACGTTTTCTGGCCGGTGTCTGTTTTTCAGCAACCTCGATGTCGGTGAAGTGACCAATCAGCTTCTGGAGAATTGATAGGTCAGAAATTCTGCTGGAAGTGTGTAGCAGAATGTCCGAGTCGCTGCGAGATTCACTGGAATCTTCTGTCAGCCTCTCATCTGAACTTCCAAGCAACTCCATGTTTTCTGAGTAAGCTTCGGAGGACGCGTTCAGGTCTTCCTCTTCGTAGTTATCAGATGAGCTGCTATCTAAAGGAATGATGGTTTCCTCTTTCTTTTTAAGTGGGCTTAAGGTTTTTGTACCCGCTTCTGTTGTATTCTTCAGTGGGCTTTCATCTAAAGGGGTGATACTACCCTCCTCTTCTTTGTTACCACATGAGCTTTTATCTAATACGTTAAAGCCACCCTTTTCTTTACTATCTAAGGGGTTAATATTCTCATCTTCACTCCCATGTGGGCTTTCATCCAATGTTATGTTAACCTCATTGTTAGAATGTGTTGGGCTTTTGACTAGCAGGCATATTTCATCCTCATTACTACACTCAAGTGGGCTTTCATCCAATGTTATGTTAACCTCATTGGTAGAATATGTTGGGCTTTTGACTAGCAGGCATATTTCATCCTCATTACTACACTCAAGTGGGCTTTCATCCAATGTTATGTTAACCTCATTGGTAGAATATGTTGGGCTTTTGACTAGCAGGCATATTTCATCCTCATTACTACACTCAAGTGGGCTTTCATCAAGCAGGTTTAAATCATCATGGTCTCTATATTCAGGCAGGTATTCCCCCACACAAAAAAATTCTTCTTGATGTACTTTTAGGTCCTGAAGGCCCTCATCAACTGGCTGAGCCACCTCCCTGTAGTGAAGACCCTCATGAGGTGGTAGAGTCCCCTCACTGTAGTGAAGGTCCTCATGAGCTGGCTGAGCCCCCTCCCTGTAGTGAGGGCCCTGACTGCTCTCATCTAGATGAAATGTTGGGTTGCTCATGTCCCAGTCCTCAATCAGCTTCTCCTGGGATGTCTCCAGCTCATCACTCTCGTCCTCCACAAGGAAAGTTTCATTGAGCTTCAGCCCACTCTCCTCAACTTTGTCATCCAGCCATGACAGACTCCCACTGCTGTCTAGTGTTACATTTAGTGCCTCGTTCAAATCTACCTGAGGCCTCTGGTTTTCATCCAAACTATCTACGTCCTTTTGCTTTTCATCCAAACTATCAATGTCCCTTTGCTTCACATCCCATGTATCAATGTTTTTTTGCTTGCCATCGGAGCCTTCAATGTTTTTTTGCTTGTCGTCCCAACCATTAATAAACATGTTCCTCCTCACATGACTCCCTGGGTCCACTAAATGAATCTCACCATGAGGTGTGTCCTGGCTGGCTGGTGTGGTGAGGTAACCCTGCTCCACCTCACCATCTGTTTCCTCATCTGTGTCCTCATCAGACAGACACTTCCAGTGTGCCAGTGGCTCTGTGGCTACACCAGGATCACCAAAAGCCTTCATGTCAACCAGTTGGTAATCTTCTAGGCCTGTGCTAGACCTTGCGATCCTCTTGTTTCTCTTGCTCTGAAGATAACCTTCACACTCTCTTCTAAGACTTTCAAACAGACCGAAATATTCTTCACTGTCCATGGCACTATATTCAGGTGTGGCCAGATCTAAGGACCTGCCGCTGACCAGAAGTTCCTCTTGCATGCTTGCAGCATCATCACCCACATGACCCAGACCTCCATCCTCAGCTGAATCAGGCAAGTCAGCATCACTCACACTGAAAGTTTTATCCAGGTGCTCTTTGGGTTTGTCCTCAACTACATCTTTGGCACGCATGCATGTGCAATCTTCAGGAGAGTCCCAGTCAATGTTAATTTCTAAGTGAATCTCTGTGCCACAGTGGGTAGAGGATGTGCAGCTACTGGTTCTGGCAGCTGAATCACTCCAGGAGTTCTCAGACTGCTGCCTTCCATGGCCAAACTTTGAAGGCATCTGGTACTCTGTGTCAGACTGGTGGTTCTCATGGCCAAACTGTGAAGGCATCTGGTACTCTGTGTCGGACTGCTGGTTCTCATGGCCAAACTGTGAAGGCATCTGGTACTCTATGTCAGACTGCTGCCTCTCATGGCCAAACTGTGAAGGCATCTGGTACTCTATGTCAGACTGATGGTTCTCATGGCCAAACTGTGAAGGCATCTGGTACTTTGTGTCAGACTGGTGGTTCTCTTGGCCAAACTGTGAAGGCATCTGGTTATCCCATATGTCATTTGTATCCCCAACTTCATCTTCATCCAAGGAAGGATTTTCTAGAAATGCCTCATCACTATCTGGTATATCAATGTCACCATCTTTGCTTACATCAAAATCAACATCTGCTAAATGCATCTTTATATTCATATCAAGTTCTGCTTTCTTGTTGTCACTATCTTCTCTCCTTGAGTCCATTTCAGTGTTATATATGTCCATATCTGCTCTGTCAAGAGCCAAAACATTCCATTCCTCCACCTCACCTCCCAAGCCAGCAGCAGTAACTGGGCATGCACCCACAGCATCACCACTGTCCTCAACCATCAAACTCTCACTACTGTCTCCAGAGCTGTCCCCACTGGAGAGGGAAGCGTCCACATGAAGGTTCAGCATGCCTGTGTTCAGGTCACTCTCTGCCTCTTCAGGCTCCTCCCTGATGCTGGAGAGAATAGACTTGTTCAGTGAGCTGCGTCTTCCTGCTAGGAATGGCTGGTAGTTGATTTCAACTGGCCTGACCTCCACCTCAGTGTTAGCCCATTCTACTTCAGACTCCTTGCCTTGTACACTGGCATGTGTGTCCTGCAGAACATCAATGGTGTCCTGCG